CGCTGTCATCGGAGGTGTGACATCTGCGTGACAAACAAGACTCTCTCACTGAATTCATTCTGCTTCAATTTCATGTGAACGTTGTGAACACGCTACGATCTGAACTCTGACCTTTGGGGTACACCTCCTTCAGGGGCACCTTGTTGGGGGGAAGGGCTCGGACCACCTGATTGGCTGAGAGCAGACTGACGCAGTTCTGTTGTTTGGCGGCGCTGGACCGAAGCCCTCCTCTGAGGAACGTGTGAGCCCCGCCCTCGCCGCTCTTCATCGCCGACAGGTCAACGGGCCTCTTAAAGCTGTACACCTCGTTAGGAGACTGGACACAAGCAGAGATGGAGAGGAAGATATCACTGAAGACGTTCATTCACCTGACACACACACACACACACACACACACACACACACACACACACACACACACACAGTAGCACATCAGATCCTCCTCCACCTCCTGTCTAAATACACCTGCTCACTTCCTTGTTGCCCCCCCACCTCTGAAACTCTCTCCCACCAGATATTAGATATAAGACATAAGTGAATAAACTTCTTTTACAGCCTCATGTATTATTCTAACTTCTTTTATTTTATTGTCATTTTGCCTTGTCTGTGTATTTGTATGATGACACTGTTTGCTATTGTGTGTTTTTATTGTTTTTATACATAAATAATACATTATAAATACAAATAAATGCATCATTATTATAATTATTATAAGAGTCAAATGGAGAATACAGAGGAAACGAGTCTGTAAACATAGTGAGAGTTTATAAACTCAGAGACCAGATTCTTCTTCTTCTTTTTAATCGTGCAGTCTCAGACTCACAGTCTCATACTGAGTTATAACGTCCAAATACAGAATCTACCGTCGCCTGAAGATTATTAAACTTTAAATTTCTTCAGATTTGGCACAAACATTCACTGGGACTCAAGGATGACCTGATTTGACTTTGGTGGTAAAAGGTCAAAGGTCAAGGTCACAGCGACCTCAGAAAACACTTTTCAGCCATTACCTAAGACTTTGGACCAATGGTTAATGAGTGTGACTGTGGATAAACAGGATGTGACCTGTGGAGCCGGCAGACCACCACCAGGAGGAGATTCTAGTTTCTTTTTGTTATTTTATGCTACTGTGAGCTTTTATCATGAAAGGTTCTGACAGGAAGTTCTAAAAGGTTCTGTTGCTTGCTCTGAAACAGCGGAGAGTCGATGTGTGTTATGTGATGTGATAAAAATAACAGCAGTTCAGTCAGACGTATAATATGTGACTGTGGGCCACAGAGCCACAAATTAACATTTCATTTTTGTCAATCAATTTCTTATATTAGTGATTGATTATGATCTGACCCCCGCAACCAGGAAGTGTGATCCATGTCGCTGTGGAGCGACAGGGTTAAACACTCAACTGCCTTCCCGCCCTTCAGCTGCTGCTCACCAAAACGTGACTTTACATTATGATGGAAGACAACGTTTTAAACATGTCAGATGATGACGTCATCTTCTCTGAACCCACAGTTTTCACCTCGTCTTATTTTGACTCTCACCATCAGGTCGGGGAAGCCGACGACGACCTGAGCGAAGGAGTCGGTGTCGGCCAGTAAACGGTTTGGTGAAACGATCTTCTGGTCCAGGGCGGCACTGAGGTTCTCGCTGGGCAGCTGCTCACATGACAGCATCTGGGGTACGGACACGTCACCTGGGGGGGGGGGGGTGACATGTTACCATCATTAAACAGAGGACACCTGTGTGGACAGTCAGTGAGCTCACGCCTCGTATTTCCTCTCGAGATCACAGTAACGTCACGAGCGGCTCAGTCATTACAGAGTCATGTGACCTCTGTGGACCGACTCACTCACGTCTCATTCTCACCAACTGTGACACAGAGTGACATGAATGTTTGATATTGATTGGAACAGCTGACAGATTAGCTCAGAGGTCTTTGTGGAGGAGGACATATGGCCGCCCGGAGCACCGGTCTATTTCCCTGAACGTCCATCTGCCTGGTTCGGTGAACACGGCTGACACCACGTCTCCACAGAGCGGAGGGCAGATCGTGACAGACGAGTTCACCCTGAACATCCTCCCTCTTATAAATGTACCTGAACCGGCTCCGTGGCCCGAGCTGACCGGGTCCTCGCTGACGCTGTGGAGCTGACACACTCCAGAGTCCTCAGCCGCCATGTGCACGGGCTTGGTCAGCAGGAACTTCCTGTTTAGAGAGAACACACCATGTCATGTTATAATTATCAAAAGGCCAGAGAGAGACAGACAGACAGAGAGACAGGGAGGGAGAGAGACAGAGAGAGAGAGAGAGAGAGAGAGAGAGAGAGAGAGAGAGAGAGAGAGAGAGAGAGAGAGAGAGAGAGAGAGAGAGAGAGAGAGAGAGAGAGAGAGAGAGACCGAGAGAGAGACCGAAAGAGAGAGAGACAGAAAGAGAGAGACAGAGAGACAGAGAGAGAGACAGAGAGAGAGACAGAAAGAGAGAGAGAGACAGAAAGAGAGAGAGAGACAGAAAGAGAGAGAGAGACAGAAAGAGAGAGAGAGACAGAAAGAGAGAGAGAGACAGAAAGAGAGAGAGAGACAGAAAGAGAGAGAGAGACAGAAAGAGAGAGAGAGACAGAAAGAGAGAGAGACAGAGACAGGGAGGGAGGGACGTCACATCCATCACGTACTTGTTGGTGTTGCTCTCCACCAGCAGCCATCGGTCCTCTGCCACGAGGAAGACACACTTCAGGTTGATGGGCAGGGAGATGGAGTGAACCCGGCCCTCCAGCACATCCAGCACCTCCAGCTGGTTTCTGCACAAACACAGACACAGACTGATTCCTCTGATGTCACAGTCTGACTGAGACCGCTGAACGGCGCTGTGGACGATCCGTCTTACCCGTCCTCCTTATAGAAGAGGAGCCAGTTCTTGTGAGAGAAGTCACGGCACATTTTATGTCCTCCCTGTAAAAAACCGTCAAAACACACGACACACACTTAGACCTCAGTCCTCGGGACGTATCGCTCAACCGCTTGAAGACTCATCATCAAACACAAACATGTCAAAGTGGAAACATGGGACAAAATAACTCTTTGTCTCTGTCTGTGGAGACGCTGCAGCCTCTGACCTGCGGCTCCTTGCTGCTCCACCAGTTGGAGGTTCTGGTGGAGGGCGGATCCGAGTCCGGAGACAACATGAGCCTCCGCACGGCGCCGGTCACCCAGTCCAGATGGAGCACCGTGTTACTCTGGTGAAAACACAGACAGAGAGACAGTGATGAGACTGAACAGGCTCACACCTCCACACAGCAGGGCGTTGTTATTGTTATTTTACTTAATGCAATAAATGGCCATCCTGCATGGTGCTTTTATTTTGAAAACGTCCTCTATTAATGGCGAAGATATTTTGCTCCAATAAATTTATTCCAAACTTACAAATGTTAAGTTGTTATTGAAATGATTAAACACTGATGAACTCTTAGTGCTTCATATTTCACTGTAATTTATTACTTTACAACAAAGACTAATCTAACTTTAAGATTCGCTTTTTCCCCCTCGGTGGTTTTCAGCTCGTTATCTGAAGCAGATGATTTTAGTCGCAGGACGTCTGGATCTGAAGTTCTCAGAGGAACAAGCTGCTCAGCTGCAGCTGCTGGAGACGTCCTGCCCTCTGTCTCTGAAGAGTGTCGCTCAGTCTCTGATATTAAAGTGAAACTGTTTTATTCAGAGTTTCTACTGGTTTACTCCCCTGGTGTGTTTGAGAGGAGGACGCCTCTGTGGATCGTTCAGCTGCTGCTAAAAACCTCACTCAGGTTTCACTCAGACCCTCGTGAGGAGGTGGTCTCGGTCCGGTCCCAGACGAACTCTGACAACGCCCTGAGTCCAAGCCCTGAACACTGAGCTGCCAACAGAGGGCGCTCCTCTCCAGATAACCCCCCCCCTCTGGATCAGACTGCTGATGTGCAGTTAACTCCAACTAATGTGAACACTTTCATTCAATTCAATTTAGATAGGCTTATTGTCTGGATGTGCTTCTGTGTGTGTGTGTGTGTGTGCTTCCTTTATTCATATCAGATGAGCGGTAGGATATCTCAGTGTGTGTGTGTGTGTGTGTGTGTGTGTTGGCTAAACTGTGCAAAAGGCTTTCGTTTGTGACGCACCAGGCTTCATCTTCAATTGAGTTTTATGAGAAGGAGCCACAGGGGAGCTGGCCCCGGCCCCAGCCGCCCTGCTTCACGCTAATGGTTTCCTTATGGCCTCCCGTCCCCGACACACACACACACACACACACACACACACACACACACACACACACATCACTGCAGCGAGGAGTGGTGGAGCCACTCGGAGACAGAGAAACCCCATTTCCTGATTCTAAACATGTACAGACTCTGGAAGGAGTGAGCACACGTGTACGTCCCTGCATGTGCATGTGTCCTGTGACAGGCTTCATTCAGCGTGTGTGAGTGTGTGTGTGTGTGTGTGTGTGTGTGTGTGTGTGTGTGTATGTGTGTGTGTGTGTGTGTGTGTGTGTGAGTTAGGGGAAGCTGCTATGTCTGTTATGTTTGTTTTAGCACGCCCCTGAACGCAGCATCATTATATTTGGGTACGGTTACACAAGTAAGTAAGCGCCTATAAGAAGATGCATTTGCGTGTGTGTACAGTGTATATATATATGTGTGTGTGTGTGTGTGTGTGTGTGTGTGTGTGATAGTTTCCCTGATTTCCCCGGAAAGCCGTTTGACCTGTGCGTGAACTTCATGTTGTCTGGACCTCTTCACTTTTAGACAGACGTAACACGATCCATCACAGAGGTATTTTTAGAAGTCCTCCTCTTGCCTAATCTGCAGCAGCTGTGAAGTGTTCTGGTCGGAGACGTAGCTGCTAACACGCATTGTTCTTGTCTGACGCTCGGCTGTCACAGACCGGGGTCTTACGGGGTGACAGAGTCAGCGGCAAAACAACATCTTAACCACCGACCACTTGAAGAAAGTTGTGCTGCGATATTTTAAATCTGTGAGGAATCTGTGGTCGTCCTCGGTTACGGAAAAAAACAAACAAATGCCAGTGTTGTGGAAATGTCACGTTACATGTTTAACTAGCCAGTAAACGAGGACATGAGACAAAGAGAGACAGGACTCTCACTCCTTTGTGACAGTTAGTGTGTGTGTAGGTGTGTTTTATTACATAATACTGAGACTATTTACAACTTCCCCCTCACTCCACGTTGTTCTTGTGCGGTGTTCCACATAACTCAGGATTACAGCTGACATTTACAGTATTTATGTTTTCTCCTATGAGCCAAAGTGATGATACCCACTATCACTCCCACCTCCGCCATAAAGCTGCAACCTGTTCTTTTCTCTTTAATACCTCTGCTGTCTCTACACTGAATTATAGGACATGTACAGTACGTCTCTGCATGGGGATGAGCTGATTGTTTTCAAGTCCTGGTCAAGCTAGTTCCTCCAGTGTAAAGGTCTGTGTCCATGTGTAGTGTGATTATAGATCAGCTCTAGCTTCTATATTAATACTGTGAAAGTATCAAAGCCTCAGTCCACAGAGAAATGCACACAGCCTGTATTCAGAAACTGAGCCTTAAAACCAGCCGTCAGGACTTCTGGAACTTTGTGATGTCACAACAAAGCAGTCACCAAGCCCCGCCCACCTGGACCCACCATCCAAACCTTGCAGGATTTGGTTTCTCTGAGTGTTTTTACCTGAAATCTGCTATATTTTTATTGGATCACTCAGAAAACAGTCAGCCAATCAGAAGAGAGGCTCAGAGCTGATTGGCTTCATGAAAACAATATACCTCCATCCCTGGCTGTTGTCAGTGTAGAGGCATAATAAAACTGGAGTTATTAGACACCCTCACCTGTCATAGCGTGATGTCATAACAAAGACTCACAGGTATCCTGACCTACCTGGTGGCCAGGTTTGTTCTCCCCCGCCCCCCGACAGTCCGTCCACATCCCACTTCAATAAACGGGCAGTTTCCTGACTCTTAAAGAACAAGTCCATGTGTGACGGAGCGTTTCTTTAATATCATCAACTTCCTGTTCAGTGACTCTGCTGTGACAGCAAACGTTTCCCAGGGGGGGTAAGCTTGTCTGTGTGTGTGTGTGTGTGTGTGTGTGTGTGCCAACCTGCTCCTCGTGCAGCACCACCTGTCCATCCAGAGGACTCCCCAGAGGAGCTATGGTGACGAAGGGCTGCCAGACGCCGCTGACGGTCCTGGGGAAGACGTCGTAGAGCTCCATGCAGTGGATGGTGTCTCCGCGCTCCTTCATGGAGAACAGGGACACCGGGTTACACGTGGCCACGTACAGCATGTCTGCAAAACACACACGCACACACAAGGTTGGATCGTCAATGTCTCTTATATAAAATGAGACGACAACTTGACATGACAATGAAAAAATAACAAATGAAGGTTTTTCTTTTGTCCCTGATAAATACATTTGTGATTATTAAATGATTCTGACCAAAGTTCAGAGGGTCAATATAAAGACGGACGGTATCACAGTGATATCTGGGGTCTCTGTTGATTCTTCCTCAGGTTGTGTGAGGTTCTATATCCATCTATAGTCAGTGTGTTACCTGCAGTAGATTCAGATCAGAGAAGCAGCAGGAGAACAAACAAACAAACAAACAAACAAACAAATAAACAACGCTTAACACCAGTTTAAGTGTACGCTTTATTTTGAAATGTTTTACTGCTTTATCTGCCGTCAAACAGACCTTTACTTTGGAACTAGTAAGTGAACCATTGAACTACTGTATTACTACACACCAGAGCAGCTGCAGCGCACATCGTATCACTCCGCAGATCAGCTGTTTGAGTCAGAGCTAAGCGTAGGAACACAGTCGTTCAATGGTTGAAAAATGTAGTTCCAAAGTAAAGGGCTGCTTGATGACGGATAGTGATGACATTTTTCAACATAAAGCGTAAACTTCCACTAATATATATATTTTTTTTTTAAGTGGTTAAAACAGGTGTTTTTGAGGCTGATGAGAGCCAATCAGGAGAGACCGTGTCTGTGTCATTGTTTACAATGGTCTCAGTTTCTGTCCGTCCAGACCAAAACACAACCCCAGAGTTTTCGAAAGTCTCAGTTTTCCAGGCTTGAAAACCAGAGGAGGTGAAGAGGAGTAGTGTGGACATAGCCTCAGCTTCTGTGCTGGTGCTCCTGCTGCTTCTATAAACTGAATCTGTCTATAGATAAATACCTCACACACCCTGAACCGTCACTTTAATTCTTCACAGACATACAGTATGAGCCTTTACCTCTCTTTGGGCAAAGATGGCGTATTTTACTTTTATGGAAATCTGCGAAGGCTCCATCTGTTTCTCTGCGGCTTGAGGAAGTCATGGTCTTTATTTGATTTAGTTTATATTATTATTTCATAGTTTATATTTAACTCTTGTTTATGTCTTTCTGATTTGTGATCACTGACACTTAATTTGTTGTGTTGTTTCCAGCTAAACATTCAAAGGCCGTCCTCTCACACACACACACACACACACACACACACAGTGAGAGTCTACAGTCCCCTCCCCCGACCACTCTATCCGTAGATATTAGATCACTCCTTGGTTCTAGACTTAGTTCAATGGAAGATTTCCCTACATGAACACAAAACAATGATAGTTGGTGTGTGTGTGTGTGTGTGTGTGTGTGTGTACCATCTTTGGTGGTGACATCACAGATGATGTTGACTTCATTCATGGGAAGCTGCCAGTGGGTTTTCTCCTCACTGAAACTCAAAGCCCTGCTCTCCTGCCTGTTGCAGGGGTAACCCTGTACACGCAGAAACACGGGGCCCTGGAGACACAAGACACAGTGTTACTACAGCACGCACGCACGCACGCACGCACGCACGCACGCACGCACGCACGCACGCACGCACGCACGCACGCACGCACGCACGGTGACTGTGTTATAGCAGCTGGTTTATGTTTTCATTTTTGTCCTCCAACTGCAGAAGTTGCAGAAACACATGAAACTCCTAAAATGGCTTTATGGCGATACTGAAAACAACATGTATCTGCCTCTGAGCCGGAGCCCGAGCTGAAACACAACAGCAGCTGTGGTCGGTTTAAACTCGGGTCATAGTTTTGCAACGACACAGCAAATACAGAGTTTCTGGCACAGAGCTGGAGGCAAAACAATAACTGTTGGTAACACGAGGAGCGGTTTGAGTTTGTGCTCGGCCGACCACAGCAGAGAAGAATGTTGTTCTACTGCTGTCTTTGTCTTTGTCTTGCCAAGTAAATGAAAGTAAATAAGAAAACAAAGTTATAGTGAGTGAGGCTGACTGTAAACAGATTATCATTAGAGAGGCGGGGGTGTGTGTGTTTACCTTGATGTCTATGGGGTGTGTCTCCGTGGGGCAGAGCAGTTTGCGGCGAGCGTTGCCACCTTGGTTTATTGTCCAGTATCCCGTCATCTTCACCTCGGGCAGCGGCAACCTGAAGGTGAAGGTCACATGGTGACAGCCGCCTGGTGAGACCTCAAGAAGTTCAACACACTGAAATCTGAATTCACTATATGAACATCAGTGTTTTTGTGTGGTTGTCGTCTTAAAAGTGAAGCTTCCTGCAGCTTCCTGAAGTTCCAGTTTGGAAAGTGACGTCACTGTTTCACATCCTGTTGTATTAAAATGAACTGGTGTCATTAGGGGATCAACATGGCCGCCACAGCAAGATTTCAGATTGAGATTATTTGATCCCACCGTCTCTTTATACGGGTAAAACCAATACATGCGTGACGAGTGTCTATACGTGTGTGTGTTTGCCTGTGTGAGTCCAGATGTTTACTGGTCTTCCCATGAATCACAGCTGGATTACAGCCACAGTCTTATTGGCTGCAGGTGGGAATGAAAGATGCAACACAACCACAAAACAGAGAGATTCCAGGAGGATAAAACGGTCGGACGATGGATCGTCCTCCAACCATAAATATTTCTATGAATGGAAAAGCGGCGAGACACATAAGAGAAACTGTTTCTTGTTTCCCATGTCCAAAATTGGAAATCAAGAGGCAAAATATTTGCTTTTATGTATACAAGATGTTGTGGGCAACGCAGCGAGTCCGATATATAAACAGTTCAAGATGCACTTTAAATCACTGAGATACAAAGAGCCAGTGAGCTCAGATGGTGCAAGTGCAGACATAATGGAAGAGATAATCTATACGATCAGTTATGTGACTGTTCAAGGAAAATACTTGTTTCTGCTCTGCTCCGTTCTCAAGACTTGACTTGAGATGTTTATGAAACTGAATTTATGAATGTGATAAATCAAAATAAAACCACAGGAGACAGAAGAAACAAATATTTTCCTTTATTTAAAAGCCAAAGCTGCACATGATGAGAACACGTAGTGGGAATTAGAAGCTTATCTTTCCCTTATAGGAAAGCTGAGGTAATGTGAGTGAAGTCAACAGCCATTAATTTAACACTTGAAGCAGCGAGACTTCATGGAAGCCTCATGGAAGTTTAGTCTAGTCTGAAACTGGTCGACCTCAAGCATGTCAGGACGTCATTCAAGTTACAAATTCTCTACAATCAGTGAACGATGTGTAAAAGGTTCAGTCTGAGCAACAGCAGCTCCACACGGGTTCTCCACAGAGAGGTTACGGTTCTACCCAGAACCCCAGCGCTCTCAGGAGCCGCTCTCTGAAGCTGCTGACAGTAACATCAAGAACCATCCACACAAAGAAGCCACTTCAGAAGAACAAGTCTGGAACCTTCGGAGGGTGAAAAATGTAAATCATGTGTTTTGTTTGTTAGCCTTAATTTCTAAAATACGGATTGTCATTTTTATCTTCTATAAATCTATAAAGAAAAATCAACTTTCTGTGAGTTAATTCTGCAAAAAAGGAAGCTTCAATTTGTTTTTGTGATGGTTGATTAAGTGCTTGTCACATACTATCTTATCTTTACAACGTTTGTTGAGATAACGCTGAAGCAAATACAACTTCTGATACAATTAAAATCCCTGCGGGGGCCGGCTGCACAAAACAGTTTTCTCCTTAAGTCTGACACTTGAGTTTAATTCCTCCTCAGCTGAGGGAGGTACTTAAGGGTGCTGCACTGAATCTCTTAAAAGGTTTCCTTAGTTAAGGAAAAAGTTAGTTAATTACAGCCGTAACAGAGATGCTACAGTGGTAAAGCTCTACTGTTTCCATGGAGACCATATGTTTGCGGACATTAGCCTGTGATACCTGTTATCATTAAAGGAGTGAGTAATGTAGAGTCAGGTCATCGTTAAAGGTGCCCATCGGGTTCTGGTTAAACTTGGTCGTGCTGCAGTTTAGACGGAGTCGGAGGTGCCTCAGGTTTTATCCTTAGTTTGGTTGCTAAGGTACGGAAGCTGAGAAAGGCCAAATATTTTTATTATCTCGTTATCTCGAGATGATGAAGCTCGTTATCCCGAGGTAACGAGATATTATCGGGAGGAAACGATTTGGACTGAACCTCGACCACTACGTCTCGAGTAATACGCAGTCCAGATAATCTGCACTTTCATTCGGTAACCATGACGACCATGTGACTGAAATAGTCCATCCAATAATCCAATGATAATGAGATAAAAATATATTTGCGAGTATGTCCTTTCTCAGCTTCCGTACTAAGGTCTTCTGTGCGACAGTTTAACTGACTTTGTAAGACCAAGATAAGGAGAACACTTAAATACTTTAGTGAACATCTAAAGGAAACCTGAAGGAGAAGACTTAAGTGCTGCCGTTTTTCATCTTAAGGAAAATCTTAACCTAAGGCGTTTTGTTTTGTGAGACCGGCCCCTGATAACAGACGGTCGCTGCCGCACAAATCACGTTACGGCGCTTTAACACGATTAAGCCGAACGCTCTGATTGATTCCAGTGTAACTCTGAACCAAGAAAAATGTCTCTCCAATGAGGATTCTACTTCGTATTCTGTGACGTGTGTCTGTATGAGCCTTTAGAGTGTGAGTGTGTGTGGGTGTGTGTGTGTGTGTGTGGGTGTGTGTGTGTGGTCCTAGCATCTTCCTAGCAGCCTTACTCCTTAGCCAGCTTGACAGAGCTGGGCTTGGCTCCGATGGGAATCCCGTGCTTGTGCAGCGCTTCGATCAGAACCTCCCTCGTGTCTTTGTTGTACGAGTCGAAGTCGAAGACGTTTCTCACCACGTTGGCCAAACCCTCGCCTGGGAATTTCTGTTGGGAGGGAAAGACGGGCGGGAGAAAGACGGGTGGGAGAAAGAGGGATGGGGAAGGAGGGGGAAGATGGAGGGAAGACGGTCAGAATGTTAATATGATTCACAGTTCGTCAACAGGTGAGTCAGGTGACATCTGGACGGTAACTCGTCTTCAGACTCTGACCACAACACTGACACCAGCCTGCAGCATGTGTTACTGTGTCTGTGATAATATTAGAGAGTAGGGCCCGACCGATATGGATTCTTTGGGGCCGATTCCGATTCCGATATTTGGGAATAAAAAATTCTGATAGCCGATATATCAGCCGATTAAATTTTTAAATTTTTAAATTTAAAAAAAGACGAAATACCTGTCTTTGATGGCTTGAATATAGTTCCAAACACTTGTTACAAAGATATAAATTGAAGGGAGAACATTTTACTATTTTCAAATGCTTTTATTATCAGAAAGTGTGTAGAACAAGCAGCATATGAACAACTGTAGCAGCTCCATTTTTGACGCTCCCGTTGCTAAATCGCGTCAAGCTCAACAGAGTAGATTGCACCAGACAGGAAGTCAAACACATTATCAAAGTAAAACACTTCCGCCCCCTTTCAAAATAAAACACAACACGCACGTCATCTAACTTCACATCAACATTATGTATCAGAGCGGTTGAATTTAACAGAGTGGCGACATCAAAAGCTGTCGCCACTCTGTTAATATCAACCGCTCTGCACTGTATCAAGAGCAACGATCTCGCGTACGTTCCGTATTCTCGCGTGAATACGGCTGGCTCGCAAGGCAGCGCTGCGCTGCCGTAACACGTCCGGTGGGGATTGACGCGGGGCTGAGGACGGAGCAAAACCGCGACGCTGACGTTCCGCGGCGCTGACGGCCGGAAATAAATCTTCACTATTTCACTCTGATGCGGTGTGACTGTGAAGCGTGACATGAAAGCATTCGGAGCGTCCTCTACTGGATGCGTAACACAAGGACATTATTTCTAAGAAAAATACCATATTACCTGCATTTTATTAGTGAAAAATAAGTGTAAACATCGGCGTCAATTGGCCAACTTTTGGCCGATTACCGATTATTCTCTAATGGCTATAATCGGCCGATTAATCGGCCGGCCGATTAATCGGAGAGATACTGGGTTATAGTGTCTCAATAGTCTGTGCTGTACAGTTATTATGATGATACGCTGGTAAACAGGCGCAGAGAGAGGGAGATATCTTTCATAACGTCTGAAGATGAAAACCAATTACACATTTACATCTACCAACTCCATATACTTGCAGCACCTTCGTGGTCCACCAGTGGGTCCCGGCCCACGGGTTGGGAACCACAGGTCTAAATGAAAGATTATGAAATCTCATGTGGGTGAGAGGCTTTTTAAAAAGCTGTTTTCATTTTTAAAAAGACACAATGCTCGTAATGACTTCACGGCCCCTGATCCTGGGGCCATTATCAGACCCATAATTGCACTTTAACACCTAAATATTACAATGAACTGACACTGTTAAGTTCTATAAATTGATGCAAAAATCGATAACAGCCTCACCCCAGCTGGTATTGATCTGAGCCCCCAGATACCACAGAGGTGCATTCAGGACCAGATGTGAAGTGGTAATTAAGGGCGAATGTCGACTCCTGCCTCGAACAGGACAATTCAGACTTCGACTCAATTGTCCTGCACCTGTCCCGCTCCTCCATACGTCAATACTGCTGGTGATTAATGGCCGGAGTGGGTGGCCAGTGGGGAAATCAAACATAAGGGCTCGTCCCTGTGCACCGGGTTATTGATCTAGCTCCAATCGTAATCTCACTCTTCTCTGAGAACCTGACGTTATTTCTTCTTTCTCTAAAGAACCACAGAGCCCGAGGAAGGCACGAGACGACACAACCACGACATCTAAACACCTTCAAAATAAGAGAGAAGAGTGTGTTCATGTAGACAGCCTGTGCCACACACCGTTCATCTGGAAACGAACCAAGAAGAATGGTACTAACTACTTTTATCGATACTGCTTATGGATCCGGTTCTTTATTGGTACATGAATAAATGAAGACCAGAATTAACATGCTGCTTTATTTTCTCAATCGTATTCGATTAGCATTCTTGAGTAACAAACTTCAACAGCGTTGAACTAATCACTATTATAGAACGATTTTGAAACAATGGAAATGTAAAATAAATGTAATACACAATGATTCACTACAGGACTTTTCTTTGACAGTATTTTCACAGTGCAGTTGTCCCCCCCCCCCGAGGCAGGAGGACACTCTCATGCATTATTGAAGCATGTCGTGCTGCAGGATTATGGACACAGCGTCTTTATAAATTATTGATAAAAAATAGTCTGAGATCAAATCTGAGAAAAGTGTTGCGTCACATGAGTTCCCCTCACCTGCAGGTGTTTGACGATGTTGACCACCTCTCGGGTGGAGTAGGGGTAGGTGATGGTGCCCTGGTCGGCCATGGACCGCAGCTCTCCGAAGGCGGCCACCAGTTTCTGCAGCGTGGCATCGGGAACGTCGGGGCCGTACTGTTTGAGCATCGCCAGCTCGGCCTGGGGCTTCGGGTTGTCCACGGCGTGGCAGCTGAAGATGTCACCTGTAAACACACCCACACGATTCTACCTGTGCAGTGATAAGACTTTACTGGGCTCTGCAGCAATAACATCTTCTGAAATAGTCTTTTAAAAGACTCCAGTTGACTCAGAGCTGTGCTGCTGGACTTTTCACTGAAACAAGGAAGAGGGATCGATTCACCCCGGGTTCATCTTCACTCCACTGGCTCCCAGTATCTTTTAGAGTAGATGTTAATGTTCTTTTAATTGTTTTTGTGGCTCACATTGCCGATTATCTGTTGTTTTATAATCCTTCACGAGCTCTCAGATCCTCTACTGTCAGGCTTTTAAATACACACAAGTTCACGCACAAGAAAAGTAGTTTTTCTCTTTTTAATTCAGAAGGAGACGGAACATCATCTGACAGCAACTGTCTCATTTACAATGTCCAATCCTGATTTATCTAAATTGCTTGGTTATTTTTTATCATTATCATTATTTATTGATCTATTTTTCCTTGGACAGGACAGTGAAGAGTGTCGGGAAACGGGGCAGAGAAGAGGTGAGAGAAGGAGCTTATTAAATAAAGAAGGAGAGTGTTCCTCTGTGGAAGGACGTGTGTGTGTGTGTGTTTGTACCTAGAGCTCCAAAGAAGTCGTTTCCCAGGAAAGGAAAGCCCGGTCTGTTAGCCAGCACGAGCATCCTGAAGTCTGGATGCATGACGATGGCGTTGGGTCTGCTCTTGGCTTCACGTGGATCTTTGGAGGAGAGACAGTCGCAGTTAGCTCATGACACATCACAGCGGGCAGCCTCACTTCGTGTTTCTGCCTCTACCTTCTCTTTAGCTCGTCATGTTTTGACTTGCTTTGTGTCACTGAGTCTCTGATTGCATCAGGAGCTCTCAGAGTTTGTGTTTATGAAGTCTCGAGGTCGTGTTTGCATTCCTCTGGGAGGAAGAGCCTCTCAGGAATAGAGAAGCCGTCAGCTGCTGGTGTGATTACGTGTTAGAATCCACTGGTACCTGTCCATAAAGGCTTTTATCCTAAGCCTCCTTTAGTGTCCTGCATCTGATGTTTTACACATGTCCGTCTTCCAGGACACCCAATCCTCAGCTCGTCCGTTTAATGGTCCCGCTTGTGTCTGCTCGCTGCATCTGGGACGTGTCTGCTGTCAAGGTGTTAAACCCTCTGTGTGTGTGTGTGGGTGTGTGTGTGTGTGTGTGTGTGTGTGTACCTGAGATGATCCTGCGTCCGTCGGCCAGGATCATTTCTCCGCTCTCCACCAGTGTTTTGAGGATGCAGGTGACGTTTGTTGGAGCTTTATCGGCCTCGTCAATCACCAGTATGTGACCCAGTTTCACTGCTTTCACCTACACAAACACACACACACACACACACACACACACACACACACACACACCATCTGTTTAAATGTATGATAACAGTGAGTGTTCATTAGTTAGACAGGAGAAACAGCGTTACAGAGATAGTCACAGACGTGACGCAGACTGAACGTCGGACTTCTTTGTAAATACGCCGCGCTCCCACATCTCAGCAGGTCGCTCTGTGAGTCTGTTATTATAACTGCTACAAAGAATGACCAAAAATATGTAAATACATTCCACTTCCCTCAAACTGGAATTTCCCTTTAAAAGGTCCTACATACGCACTGTGCACCATCACAGGTGTTTTCACTTAGTTTGATTAATTAGGCCACAGGACGTGTGTGTGTGTGTGTGTGTGTGTGTGTGTGTGTGTGTGTGTGTGTGTGTGTAACATGACTGGAGCCCTGTTCAATCCTATACAAACAGCATGTGTTCTACAGTTTCCTCTGTCTTTGGGTCGGTGTGCGTCATGTGACACTGCAACACCAGGTGTGGCCACTGCACTAACATGTAGTTATTTCTTCTTCCTTGGTGTGTGCAGAGTGTTGCTCGCTGCCCTGTCGCACCTGTCGTCTATGTCCTCCTCCCTGTCACACAGATCTTCTTTCACCTCATGCGAATCTCTTCATAACTCTGCCCACCTCTGAGCAGCTGTGTGTGTGTGTGTGTGTGTGTGTGTGTGTGTGTGTGATTAACTGACCAGAGGTGAGTCCTCGTACGTGATGATGCCATCTCGGACTGAGGGCTGCAGGGTCAGAGTCTGGACAGTCGTATCTCTGTGAGGGGGGGGGAATGTAAATGTTCCGTTATAATAACTCAAATTCAACATTTGCTTTCATTTATTTAGAGTTTAAAAATACACACACACACAGACACACACACACAGGCCAGAAAACAAAACATAAGCATCTCCCCAACAACTTTGATTCCCTGTGGCTCCCAAAATTATCACTCCCTCTTTCTCTGAACATCTCCCACCTACCAGCCCCCCCCCCCATCTCTCCTCGATATCCCACAGTGTGACCCAGGAGCTGTCCTAGTTTCCCTCCATCTCTGCTGCTTTTCTGAGCCACATCTCTGTAGGTTTTCAGTAACGGCTCCCAGAAGCCACATGCACAGATCCTCCTGCCTCGGCCCCGCTCTAATATTAGCTAACCAGGCCACATCCACGCTCAGCTCCACTTCGACTTTCACAGGACTTTGACATTTTTTACATCAGTTCTTCGGGTTTGCACAAGTGATGACTTTTACTGGCGTTCTGTTTGCTGCCGATCTCCCATCAGAGTCATTGACACGCAAAACATCGCCTCCTTATTAGTGCAGGGATCGATACGAGGCCCGTCTCTGTCTCCGATTGATCTGAGTCACGTTCAATAGTAAGGCTGATTTCACACCACGCTGTGCACGAGCAGCTCTCTGACCTAATTTTCCCCAAGTGTGATGATGTTGAGTATTTATAGAAGCAGTGAACCCGACCGACTTAACAAGGACTTCTTCAAAAATGCTTCTTCTTTAGTATGGGCATGTGAGGTCCTTGTTCTGGTCAAGGATGGCCTAATTTACTGAGGACCAGAATAGTTTTTCATACCCTTAGATGGAAAGGATAAAGCTGGGGGGGGGGGGGGGTAAGAAAATGAATTGAAAATTAAAAATATATTAATACTGTGAAAGTATCAAAGCCTCAGTCCACAGAGAAATGCACACAGCCTGTATTCAGAACCTGGGGCCAGCTGCACAAAACACCTCAAGTTTCATCCTTAATGTTTCCTTAATGTTCACTTAAGTATTAATGGTTTTCTCCTTATCTTAGTCCTATACTTAAGGAATCGCTTAAAGCAACTTAAACTGTTGCACAAGACACTGAATGTAAAATCTCTTTCCCTGCTGCAAATGCCTTAACGTTTCTCCTCAACTATGGAAGCCTTTTAATCGATTCTGTGCAACACCCTTAAGAAACTCCCTCAGCTAAGGAGAAATTAAACATTAAGTGCCATTACTTAAGTTGAAAACTTAAAGTGTTTTGTGCAACTGGCATCAGCCTTAAAAACCAGCTGTCAGGACTTCCTGTAACTTTGTGATGTCACAACAAAGCAGTCACCAAGCCCCGCCCACCTGGACCCACCATCCAAACCTTGCAGGATTTGGTTTCTCTGAGTGTTTTTACCTGAAATCTGCTATATTTTTATTGGATCAGTCAGAAAACAGTCAGCCAATCAGAAGAGAGGCTCAGAGCCTCCTCTCTTCTGATTGGCTCACTGACCTGTTGTTACTAGAGCTCCAGAGAGAAGCCTGAGAGAGGAGATGTAAAACTACACTGAGATGGTTTTTATATCTTCTGATGGATCAACACTTCAGATAAAACACAGAAGAAGAAGAAACATGGAGCTTTAAACACAAAAATAATCAAACATCCCTCGACTGATGATTGATTATGAACTTTTGATCTATTCTGCAGCTGGTGACTCATACATGAATACATAAGACGGATTCTCATGAGCTGTCTGAATGAAGCTGAACTGAAAAGAGTTTGGAAGAAGATTTTCAGAGAAAGTCTGAGACGCTGATGAAGAATGGAAAAAGTCTGTCAGAAGATTTTCTGTTTAACAGAAGTAGGTACATGATACTCTACTGCAGCGTCTGGAGTGGATCAAAAGGCTGAAACAGGATTATAGAAGAGAACCAAGCCCACAGTGACTGACGGTTCTCCCTAATCTGACTCATTTTTTCTGGCTCTGGGTGAAGAGGGAATGTGACACGTTCAGTGGAGACGAGTTGACTGTCCTCACCTGTGGAGCTGCAGGTATTCTCTGGGCCTGTTCAGCAGGTGCAGGAACCGGTCCACTATCTTATTCTTCCCCACGCCCTGTGGAAGGATTGAAAACAAGACACGCAGTGAGATAAAGAAATGAATCTTTCTGTTTCAGTAAAGACAGATAAAGAGGTGTGTGTTCCCTCTGACAGCGAGAGCCGAGAGCGGCCCTTAGTTTGGACGGCTCTGCGTTCTGACAGGGGCTGTTCTCTGGGACTCCCACTGGCTTCCTGCGGAGCCTGCCTCTCCCGGATGTGCCGCTGAGTCTCTGGGCCGGATCGTCAGACGTCCAGTAAACTGCTCTGACAGCTCCTAATGCCTCAGCGTCAGGCACTCTGATTTGCAAATAGCTTCTCTCCCACTCGAGTCTCTCACAAACAAACACACACAGAGAACCACCTCTGGGCTGCAGAACACCATGTCCACTTTCACTCCCTCCTCCTCCTCCTCCTCCTCCTCTTCCTCCTCCTCAAGGAGCAGACTCGGGGGCACAGAGTGTCCCTGGGGAAGTGCTACACACTCCCTTGTGCCCACAGAGTTGGGAGGCTGACATGAGGGTGCAGGGAGCCTGTTTCATAACTGGTCCCACCAGGCTGAAGCAGGGCCGACATGTGTGACCTACTTCACAGTGAGACGGTGAACAAAACTGGATCTCTGTGGACGTGTCACTCACCTGGTTTCCCACCAGGAGGAGGTGCTCCCCTAACAGGAAGTCTTTCAGCATGTCCTCCATCACCATCATGTGCTGCAGAGACATTAAAACAAACACTCAACAAGTTAGAACGTGACTGATTGAACCCACATGGACATTTTCACATAGTAAGTAAAAGTATCGTGGTCCCTGTGTGAAGATAAAATTCAGCTGCTTCCTCCTCCCCTCTGCTCCCAATGCTTTTCACAACTGTGCTTCTACTCTAAAGACAGAAAGCAGGTCATTCCAAAAGTAGGGCATCCTCCTCGCTCTCATCCTGTCTCACCCTCATCCACTCTTATTTCAGTGTCTCCAGTACAAGCAGGCAGAAGAAAAAAAAGAGGGCAGAATGAGGACAGGGAGAAAGAGAGTGGGAAAGAGATAAATCTGGGTCACATGGCGTCATCGGTGTGGCCAGAGGATGTGTCGTTTCCTCGGCCGGTCTCTCCTCGCCGCGCTGAGGTTCGGACGCACCGGGCCACGGCGGCCAATAGGATCAGACACAGGACGTCAAAGTAAACAACAAGTGGTATAGAGATGTTTTACCTCGTAGAATCAAAAATCTACCGGTGCTTCTACAGCAGTGTCAGTAAACATGATTCTGACACTAATATGTGGCATGTACAGACACACAGCAGCTAGCAGGACAAAGGTATATCATTCCCAAGTAAGCGTTAGCACGAGCTCCGCTAACAAGAAGAAGAAGAAGAAGAAGAAGAAGAAGAAGAAACAAAGAGGCTGGATGCCTCATTTCTATTGGCCACGTGTGTGTTTGTCATATTGTACAACAAAGTAATATATATGGTTTAAAGAAAAAACACTCAAAAGAGCGTTACCTGAGAAGAAATTTCAATAATTAATGAGTATAATATATGCATCGATTCATGGCTGATAATTACCTGTAAGTTAATGACAGATTTATTTTCTTTGTGCTTGTTATTATTTGCATTATTATGTGTCATGTATTGTGTGATGTGTAGTACTGTGAATATGTACGGTTGTATCGTCGACATCAAACCTGTGTAGACGCCAAGAGGAACAGCTGCTGCGATGCTAATGGGGATCTAAACAAACAAACAAACAAGCTCAGCCAATGGCGCGCTGCACATGTGCAGCCACAAACGATGGTTTCAGAGCACAGTGCTGCCGATGTTGCGTTCGGTCTGAAAGTCCCAACGACTTCCTGAACAAGGTTTTGGGCATGAAGTCCACTTCACTGCACTTTGCTCTTTCTTTTTATATCATGATTACAACTGCAAGCTAACCACAAGCATTCAATGAATTTACGTGTTTTCCTGCTGGACACACGAAGGCACGAATAAAGTGCAGAATTAAAGTTACATTGCTTTCTCATCCACTAAAATTCAGGTCAGTTACAGCGGACAGACTTTCCTGCCAGGTCAGGACTCAGATTATATCTGTGAGACTCCACTGTATCTAACAAGGAACCAGGCCTCAGGAAATATCAGCTAATACCAGAACTAAAAGCAAAATCCTTCATAATGAAATAAAGTCACACACGGCAACAAGGACACAGGGATATTAATAATAACAAGAAACAAAAGCAGGGATCAGAGTTGGCATTTCATTGATCTCATTTGAATGAACACTGCTGTGAATATTGTGCAGTGACGAGTACACAGACTGATCTTTCTCAGTTTGGGAGAAAAAAACAAAACAATGGATTATTCTTTATTGTTTCTAATCCGGCTTTTGCCCTTTTGTGATGAAATGTGGGTCATGCCCTGGAAATGAATGTCTTCTCTTACAACCACACAGAGGTTTGGTAAAATGTTTTAGGTTTGGTTTGGACTGACGTGAATCCCACTATGTATATTTGGATGCGGGTCGGTGTGTAATTACCTGGGGGTTGTCATAGAAGAGAACGTCTGGAACCTTCATTTTCTCGCTGGGGTTGTAGACGGGAGCGGACACGTTGCCGATAGTCAGCACACCATCTTTTACCATACCTGCAGAAACACAGTCTGTGAGTCGCTTCCTCAGGGGAAGCTACAGATGTTCCTTATATGGCTACCAACATCTGGCCTTCCAGTCTGCAGATTTATAGTAATATAATAATACAAATAACACACCTGAAGCAGTATAATTATAATTAAAGGTTCTGTAAACAATCATCACTGACACTAGATGCAGCTTATAGGATTCCCCTCTCAGTAAATCCACACCAGTATCAGTTCCACGGTCTGGGACAGGAATTCAGCCTTGGACTGATCCACTGGGACCGGCCGCATGAATGACACTGATGGAGCTGATAATGACACTGATGAGGCTGGTAATGACACTGGTGGAGCTGATAATGACACTGATGAGGCTGGTAATGACACTGGTGGAGCTGGTAATGACACTGGTGGAGCTGGTAATGACACTGATAGAGCTGGTAATGTCACTGATGGAGCATGAAAGACTATGAATGTTTTGGCGGTCCACCGGCCGACCAGGATCTGAGCCGGTAGTCCTCAGTCCAGTCCACCTGTGTTCTGCTCTTGTCTCTTTCTTTGTCTGAGGCCTTTTCAGATGAAAACGTGGTTTCTTCTTCAGTGGAGGAAGTTCTGGAAGGTCGGTTTCACCGAAACGCTGCGCATTGTGCTATGCAGTGGGCGCTACCTGTGTGTTGATTGACGTGGGGAAGACTAAGGGTTTATCAGGAGGGACTCACATGCACTAACACGCATGTGCGACCAGACCAGCAACCAAAACAACTTACAATAGAGCAATTCAGATTATAACAAACACAAAAGGGGTGTGGCTTCATTCTCTGCTCAGGACGCAATTACCCCGCTATATCTTTACATAGTAAATGGTTGTTTGCTGCTGTATTGTTGTTTAAAATGTTGTTTACAGAACCTTTAAGAATAGAGTGGCTCTAGTCTGTTGTTTTAATATTTGTTAGTTACACAACTTTCTTTTTTTTTTTGCCATTTGTCAGGCTGTAAACAAACATTGAGCAGTGGTAATAAATCTCATCGAGACAGGTGACTGGAACTCACAGCTGTAATCTCGAGTGTGTTCAGCCGGGTCTGGAGCTTCCTGTATGGAGCAGCTGGCGAGGCTTTTTTCAAGAGAGGCACGAGCCAGGCTGGGCAGGAACCTGCAACACACATGAACACAAATCACCACTGCTGCACACAATCATAGAGGTTTAAAAAAAACATTTCACAGTGAATCACAACCCAGATGTGTGTATGTGTGTGTGTGCGTGTGTGTGTGTGTGTGTGTGTGTGTGTGTGTGTGTGTGTATGTGTACCTAGAGAGACAAGCTTTATTGACAGCGTGGGCGATGCTCTCCTCGGGGTACAGAGAGAGACGGCGACAGATCCTCAACAGCTGTCTGGTGGAGAGAGAGGAGGCCAGAGACTGTGCCTGGAGAGACACACACATACACACACACACACACACACACACACACACACACACACACAAAACAAAACTCACAAATAAATGACTTAGATCACACACATGTAAACAAACTGGTAAGCACACACACGCACACACTTACGGTGGCGTCGTTTGTCTTGCGGAGACTATGTGTGAGGTGCAGGAGCTGCTCCGCTGCTTCCTCTGGGACGTCAGGAGTCTAAAAAACAAGAGACAAAGAAGACCGATGAAGAGGACGGTATGCAGATGAGGACAGAAGTGGATTTAAGCTACAAGAATCTTCATCTAGAATTACTTTTGTTTCCAAATTATGTTTCCAGTTAGAGCTCGAAATAATAAACACCTGTTAGCTGAACAAACACCTCCTTAAAACAGCTTCAACACAGACTGAACATTAATACCTTCATGATGGAGAATTTTATAACATTAGTAAGATGTAACCTAAAGCTAAAGTTAGAAACTAGCTAACACTAGCTAAAGTTAAAGCTTAAAGCTAAAGTTAGAAACTAGCTAACACTAGCTAAACTGTAACTTAAAGCTAAAGTTAGAAACTAGCTAATATTAATTAGCTAAACTGTAACTTGAGGTTAAAGTTAGAAACTAGCTAACATTAGTAAACGGTAACTTAAAGCTAAAGTTAGAAACTAGCTAATATTAATTAGCTAAACTGTAACTTTAGGTTAAAGTAAGAAACTAGCTAACATTAGCGTCCATCCGTAGACACAGAGTCTAATTCAGAAACTCCGGTGATAAGAAACTACATTAAACAAGCTACATAGTTGGCTACTTCTACTTACGTTTACCTACAGTGTCTCTGTTTGTTTGTGCAACGCACACGAGCAGAGATGCTAGCTACTCAGACAGGTGGACGAGACGTTCAGCTAATCAAGGTTAAAAAATGGTACGGTCCACTTTAGGGGTGTCTGTTAGATTCTTCCAGGTATGAATATGGGGAAATATGTTGTAATATTTTACAAGTAAGAAGGATTTAAAAATGTTTCAACCTCCTCAACTGTTGTTTTTTTTTATCTCGTTTTAGCTCTTCTGGTTCTTAAAACCACAAATATGTCTTCTTAATGATCAACACAGGAGAAGAGGAAAATGCTGTTTGTCAGTTGTGTATGGAGGTGTTGTGTCACAGTGTGTGTGTGTGTGTGTGTGTGTGTGTGTGTGTGTGTGTGTCTCACCAGTCCCTGTATGAGGCCCATCTCCTCTGCTTTGGCCAGCGGGGTGACGGTGTGGTACAGGAACATAGTGAGCAGCTCCGGGCCCAACCACTGCTGACCTCTGCTGCTGCTGGCACTGGCACCAACAACAGGGGGCTCGGCCAGGGCCAGCACCCTGAAGGACGGGTGGATGGGGAAGATGGACCTGAAAATACACACACACACACACACACACACACACACACACACACACACACACACACACACACACACCAAGACAACAGTTACACTCCAGCAGTGGAAGAACATCTGTTTAGCTGTGTTCAAGTAAATATGGAGTGCAGGTGCACATGGTGTTTGTCACAGTGTGTGTGTGTGTGTGTGTGTGTGTGTGTGTGTGTGTGTGTGTGTGTGTGTGTGTCTCTCACAATCTATGTCAGGGACAGGAGCATGACTTTTGACAGCTGGCTGTGTAATTCTTTGATTCAAGAGGACAGCAAAGTCCATTTCGATCACCCCACAGAGACACCCACACTGCAACAGGCTATATTTACTCTAATGTGGGCGGGAGCAGGCGCTAACCATCATCATCATCATCATCATCATCATCATCATCATCATCATCACTGGGCGAGTGTGTGGGAAGACATTTCATACATGAAGATATCAGAGGCTGGTTATTTTTGGGCTTGACCACACACTGTATTCCACCATCCATCTAAAAAGTTTGTCTCTCTTGTTCTCTCGTTCACTCTCTCTCTGTCTTCCTCTCTCTCTCTCTTCCGTCCCATAACGTCGTCAGCTGCATAAATTTAATTCAAACATTAATATTGTTAAACAAAAATGACCAACCCTGATCCAAATCTGACTGGTAAACAGATATGAAGTCGTGTTCTCCAGGATGTGGGTTCTGTTTGCTGCTATGAGAAGAATCATGAGGCCTGAACGTGCAGCTGATAGATTTGCAGAGGTGATGTGATGTAATCACGTCAACATGGAGGAGAACTCTGAGGAACGTTTACAACATGTTGTGGAATGCATGACATGAAGAACTGAGGCTGTTTGAGAACAAAGAAGAAGAATAATAATAACAATAATAATGATACGAAGAAGATTTTATTTGTATAGCACTTTTCAATACAAGTAACAAAGTCAGTCATGAGTCACAAATCTAAGTGAAATGTAAATGGAGGTGCGAAATTAAATTAAATTTTACAAAATCAAATACAAACACAGTTTTTTTTTTTTAATCAAAATGTGTCTTAAGAAGTGAAGAAGATAAAACTGAACTGTCTGACCTCCTCTGGAGGGTTGGTCCAAACTTTAGGGGCCTGACAGCAAAGGCTCCTAACAACATAGACCTTGGAGTGACCAGCAGTGAACTACCAGAGGATCTCAGCCTGAGTCCTGGATCATAAGGGGTTAAAAGCTCAGAAATATTGAGGGGTCGGACCTTAAGAGTCATTAAATTTTTTTAAAATCAATTAGAAAATGAACAGGAAGTCAGTGTCGAGATGCTGGATGAGTTTCTCCAGATCCTGTATGAGAATGTGTTCCTAATAAAGTGCTTAGTAAAAAAACTGAAGCCTGTATTGTAATGGACACACGCGCACACACACACACACACACACTTTATCTGAGCCACAGGAGAGGAGGAAGAGGAAGTGGGTTTATTTCAGCCCAGACGCCCCACCACAAACATCCTTCCTGCCAGTTTAGGTGGGTTTCTAAGCAAACAAATGTGCATGTAGACACACACACACACACACACGCGCACGCACGCACACACACTCACACACGTCATGAGTCAAATAGAGGGAACAGTTAAGGTCATTCACTTACTTAAAATGCTTTCTCATAGTTTTCTAAACCACTGTAGAGTGTTGGTGTCTGTTCTCAGATCACGTTTTCCTCCTCACCTCTGCACACTCCAGCCTTCTTCTCACTTTGGGCTATTTTCAGTCTGAACACCTGGTGAAGCTCCGTCCCTGACAGGAGGTTCAAAGTGAGTCGGATGGTAAGAATGCTGATCCAGAAGATTCAACACAAACCCAGAGCGCTCATCGCTCTCCTCTTCTTTTAGATGACTTTTCTCCCTTGTTCTTCTTCACCCATCTCTCTCTCACACCTGCAGATCTCCCCGCGGTGCGAGGGATGACGACTGTCAGCTGTCTATTCTCTCTCTCTCTCTCTTCCTGTTATGGGCCTGATGCTGAGTGTTATTATTGTTTTCTTTGAAAAACCAGGGATCACATCTGTCGTGTTCCCACCTTTGACGCAAATACAGACTCAGAGATGCTCCTGAAAAACTCCTGACCTTTCCCACACATCACCCACAATCCTGACCTGTGTGTGTATGTGTGTGTGTGTGTGTGTGTGTGTGTGTGTGTGTGTGTGTGCGTACCTCTCTTGCAGTTGCTCGTCAGTGAACTGCAGTTGTTCCTTGATTGCCTGGTATCTGTCCCACCTCAGCAGCCTGGTCCCGTCGTACAGATCCAGCTCCCTGTCGTGGAGTAACCTGGGACAGAAAACACAGTGGGATGAGCTGAGGTGTGAGTGTGTGTGTGTGTGTGTGTGTGTGTGTGTTTACAGAGAGCAACAGCTTCTCCACTTGTAGTACCTGGACAGCACTGCCAGGGTTCCCAGGTTGACCCTGTGTATGCCATCCAGGAGCAGCAGCTTTCCCTCCACGGCAGCAGTAACCAGGGGCGACGGCCTCCACGCGGTGTCTCCGTTAGGGAGGGTGTACCTCTGCTGGAGGAGGTCCCTGGCTGTCATGTCCTGGAAGTCAAAGAGAAAGGAGGAAAGAGAAGCAAGGGAGGGAAAGAAATGGACGTCAAGTGACAGCATTAAGGGAGGCTGAGTGTGCCGGTGTGTTCACTGTCACACGGTGAAACCGGCTCTCCATCAGACACTAGACTTCCAGTTTTTCTCCACATGATCCAGCCCAGCTGCTAGACTCCATGTCTCCACAGATAACAGTTAATGGCACATTTCTGTTTGGGGGGGGGGGGCACTGTCATATTCGCCGTCATGCCACCATGTCACAGCAGAGACGGAGGGTGGAGGAGGGAAGACAAACGGAGTTGCACAATTTGTTCCAGGCAGCGATTACTGAGCTGCTAACTGCTCCACAGCAACAAGACAGGGCTCCATGTTTTACACCTGGAGAGAGGAGGTGTCGTCCTACGAATGGCGGTGAAGAGAAAAATGAGCTTTTAGCTTTCTTTAGTAACAACAGTGGACGCTCATAAGTCCGAGCTCCTCTCACATTCAGAATTGGTAAGCGTCATTAAAGGGGTGACTGCTGACAGAGTGTCCGGTCTCCTCACCCACAGAGACAAATCTCCCTCTCCCTGTAACCTACCAACATGGCGGCAGCCTGCTCGGTTCAAAGGTGAGCAGACGTGCAGCAGTCAGTCTGACGAGCAGGCTCTCATACCTCAAGCATCACACAAACTATAAGAGCCTTCCAGTCGACAGCTCCCCGGCTCTTGTTTAAACAGAACAGCCAGTCAAGTCAAGTATCTTTGTCATTGTTAAAAACGAGACAGCACAAAACAAAAATAGTGCTAATAATAAATAGATAAATAAAAGTGCAATCATAATGTACATTTAACCTGAAACCTGAGTAAACTAACACTCAAAACAACTAGGAAAATAAGAAAACTGCAACACGTGCTAAGGTTAGCTAGTTTCTATCTTGAACCTTAAGTTACAGTTTAGCTAACTAATGTTAGCTAGTTTGTTACTTTAGCCTTCAGTTACAGTTTAGCTAACTAATGTTTGCTAGTTTGTTACTTTAGCCTTCAGTTACAGTTTAGCTAA